GACAAAAAATATGATAGAACATGTAAAAACAAGGTTTGTTTCACTTCTGATGATCAGTTTTTGCAGTGTGGCTTTTAGATAGTGAGTTTTGCTCTTAAAGATGTGGGAAAAAAGTTTTTAAAATCTTATTTCTGATTATAATCAGTCACTCTGAGCACATAAAAATGTCGGGTTGTTGCATGTATGGATGCCAGAATCGAAGGGAGCACATCCATTTCAACCAAATCTGAGGCGTCTGTGGCTGCAGGCCATCAAAAGGGTTGATGAAAACTGGACTGAAAACACGATCCGAAATGCTCGAGTTTGTAGCGCCCATTTTATATCAGGTAAGGTAACTATGTACTAAGATTACACCAGAAAGCTGGTTAACGTGTGTTCTATTAAATAAAGTAAGTTGTATTTGCTGGTTTGCAAATGAAATTAACATTTCATTCTAATTCATCTGTATTTTCCCACTGCATATTAGTATAAACTGTATTTCTCTAAAATTAACACGATTGTACTCTGAGCACGCTAAAAAAAGAAACCTATGCTATACTCACCCTGCCATGCAGGTACAGTTGGCTGTGAAGACGTAGTTCTCTGGTTTGTTTACTATGACCCAAGCCTCGTCCATAGCAGTCTTGTGTCCTTGTCTTTGGCTAGGAAGGACTTCTGCCTTCAAAACGCAAAACTCAGAGTCTATGTCGTGATATTTTACTTTCTGTACGTGGCCACAGACAACATAGTTGTATGCATCTAACGACTTGTATGCCCGTAGCGTCTCACGTGTGTACTTACTGGGCCTCTCCACTAAAAACGTATATATATATCGGGCCACTGGATATCTGGCCACGCACCTACATCTTCCACCCATTCCGTAATGCCACAGGGATCCGGGAGTCTGTTGCCATTCGTTAAAGTGAGTTTAATAATACAACATTCAAGATTTGCCGGTGATAACCCCGCAGCGTAGCTTGATAAAGCCTGAAACAACGCCATTCTCTGTTGCCAAGCTGCACGCGCATTCTCGCTGACGTCATATTGTTTACGAACAGTAAAAGGGTCTATGCTACTAGTAGAAGCTAATCACTAGCATTAGCCACTTCACCGCACAGCAGAACGCCTCCAGGCTTGTGTTATTTGTGGAGAAAAAAACATAAACGTTGCAAGTCAGTGGTAGTGTTGCGTTACTGTTATCCAATCCAAGATGAGATGTCCAGTAAATCAGGAAATAAAACACTAAAACCTGCAGCGTGAAGCTCAACTGTGATGTGGCTCACTTCTAGTTCCTGGAAATATTTGATTTCCCCCAAGTATGACTTACAAGGCATTCATTCCTAGTAGAGACCACTGCAAATGATTAAACAAGTTTCCCACACCCTTAAATGTACAATTTTATTATCTTATGCACTTTTATGTAAGAAAACGATTATTTAGAAATGCAATAATGATAAATATTTGATATTAAACTTGACATGAAATGAAAAGGGAAGGCTGTGCAACATCCTCCAGTAATTATTAGGTCTCTAATGTCTAGTTTTGATCAAACAAAGGACCTCAGTATGAAGCTGCATGCTTGTATTTTCTCCCTAAATGTTACATTAATCTTGTTTAATCCAGTTTGATCAGAAGCTCAAAAAACAGTTTGGCTTTATGCTTCATGCAGGCACTAATATTTAGACGTCTAACTCGGCCCAAACCTCTGGTTTTATTTACACAAACACAAACGTCAGAAATGTTTTAGCTGGTGTAGCGAGAACACGCCACAGCCGTGCCCCCGCTGACGCGTGCTCGGTCTGCGGGACGACACTGTCGCTTGTATCAAACGCAGGGTCAGGGGTCAACATTTAACGTCCCTGTTTAGGGTAACAGGCATCAGAGCAGCCAGGCCTTTGTTCTGCACCACTCCTGAGAGACGAGCATGCACAAACGGGTGCCCTGATGAGAGATGTGATGGGAAGCAGATGAGCGTTAGGTCAGTCCACGTCAGGTCCAAACAGCAGCACAGTTATTTCCTACTTTTACAGCGTAAACGTGACGTTTTCTTGACAGATGTGGCTGCTTGGGAAGCTATGGGGCTGCGAATGAGAGAAGGGAAACATCAAACTGTTTCTGAGCCTCGTTCTTTGCTTTTACTTGTCGTTTAAAGTGGATTAGTGCGATAGCGGCAAACATGGGAAAGAACTACTCAACATTTTTGCGACATAAAACAAAGGATCGTGTTCTCTCGTCAAAGTTTTGAGTGCTCAGTTTGCGTCATTAATCATCGTTCATCAGCAAGTGTCATAACACTTCAAACAAACCTACATCTCATAAAATATATTTCTAGTGTTTTTCATAGAGGCACACGTAAAAATAAACTCAATAGGACATCTGCAGGAGGGTGACTGATGTCGCCGTGTAGATGTATAGAAATAGATCTGATTTTAGTTTAGAGTTTATTGTGTTTGAATCTAAACATGGTTTTATTTCATGGAGGCAGAACAGATGAAAGGGCTTTCTCCACTGAGCTTCGATAAACAGTCCTTCACCATCACATCCCAGGCTGTTAGTGAGAGGCTCACACACACATTAATCAGTATGTGACAAAATAAAAAGCATCAAACGCTGCGTAGCAGCAGATGGATCATAAAGAAGGGAAAGTGTTGAGAGAACATCTTAGGTGTGTTCTTGCTGTGCGTTATTTCTAATTCCATGTTGTCGTTCTTTTTTAAAACACAGAAACGGTTTTGTTACCTGTTATTGACGCTACAGTTTCGCCGACGGCTGCCGGCTTCTTCAGGCTGACGCTGATGGTGGCGCGTCACTTCCTTCTCCGTTTATCCGCGGGCAGCAGAGGACGTTGTCGCCCTCTACTGCCCGCTCTCCCCTCTCCGACGATGCAGTCCCATGCGTGGTCCAGCGTGTAAACTCCGTCGTCCCTGTTCATGGTCCCACATCCACGTCTCCTTATCTCGATTGCTTCCTTGATCCATCTTTTGTATTTTTGTTGTTCGGTATTTATGATCTTTGTGTTGTCCCAGTCCATTATATGGTTTTCTCTTAAGCAATGATCTGTTACGGCTGACTTCTTTATTGTGCTTTCTGCTTCTTCTTTCGCTGCTCTTGTGTGTTTTCGACTTGTTTCTTTTTCGCACTCCTTTCTGTGTTCTATTGTCCGTGTGTTGAGTTGGCGTCCGGTTTCTCCTATGTATGTTTTATTGCAGAGTTTGCATGGGATTTCGTAAATGACTCCACATTTTTGTCCAGCTGATATTTTGTCTTTTGGGTGCACTAGTCTGTTTCTAACTGTTGTGTATGGTTTTGTCGGTGTGTTTATGTTGTGTTTTTTCATTGTTGAGAGAACGTTGTTCCTGAGCAAATTTACTGCACTGTTAGCAGACAACCAGTCTGATTTTCATTTCTCTCTGAGTCAAAGTTGGATGACCTGAACACACATTTCAGAATGTTTCTTGACTGAGTTTGTTTTTATTGTGCTGTGAAGGTTTTGGTTCCATAAACAGATGAAACAGGGGTTGTAAGATTCCGACGCGCTGAACAAACGTTGCAAATTAAACCATCAAATGAAGCAAAAACAACAATAATCTGTTTAATTTCTTATTCAAATCAAACAGAACGGGTGGTTAAAATGTTAGTTTTAAATATAATTTGCATTCATTTCAGTTGTTTTTAAACAATCCATAGTGGGGTCACAACCCCATCTTTAGGAGCCACTACTTGCGGAGGGGGTTGGGTGTTTTGGGGGTCGCCATTATCAGTTAACACATTTTTTCCTGACATCTGGCTTTTAGGGGGACAACACACACCGACACACACACATTCATCGATTAGGCAAGATGAGGTTTCTGTCAATCAACCATGAAGTTTTCTCTTCAGCATCTGCTCCAATTCTGCGTTTAATTATTGAATGTTCGGAATGTGAGGCGCACATGTTGGCAAACGTTAATCATGACTTTTATTTGTGCATTTTTAGAAAAAGGCTTCTTTTAAAAACATCGATGCTGACATCTGCATGTCGCAGCATGCTGCTACTGGAAGCATTCCCAGATATGGAAATGTGGAATAATCTGGTGTGTTGGAAATTTTTGTTTTTAGGGGAATTTTTTTGTGTTTGACAGCTTTGCTCTGCAATGCAAAAGAGAATTCTCAATGGAGATCATTTTGGTTTGTGGTGTGGCAAATCCTCACAAAATCCCTGTGAATGCTTTTAAGGGATGTTAAATAGCTGTTTTTATCTGATTCACTGACTACGTTTACATGCAGCCAATATCCGGGTTATGATCGGGTTAAGGTCGGTATTCAGGTTTCTGAGTTGATCAGAATAACCCGTTTACAAGCATAAATAGAAAGAGTTACCTCTAACTTGCATAACCCGATTTAAATGCGGACGTTGGGGTAGCGTCAGGACGTATGGACTACGTCCAGACGCAATTTGTGTCATTTCCGGTTCTTCTTGTTCCGGTATCCGTGAAAACAACAACATGTTTCCCAGTTCGGAAGAGCGCTTGTTAGCGCTTTAGTTTCCTCGTCACTCCAAAAGTGTGGTGCTGTGCCGCAACTCGCCATGTTGCTCCCAACTTGTTGTTTACTTCCGGTGTTCTGGCGCATACAAGACGTCTCGCTACTCAAAAGACCAAGATTCCTTGCGAACAGAGCATGTGCAGAACACACGCTTTGATGGGGATATCCCGATATGCGTTTACATGACCAAACATTCGGGTTAGAAAAGGGTTACCCCAGGTGTAGTAACTGGGTTTTTAAAAAACCCGGTTATGAGCATATCCAGGTTTTTGGCGGTGTTTACATGGACCAGCGGAACCGGGTTATTGTGAATATTCGGGTTTTAAAAGGGTTACTGGCTGCATGTAAACGCACTCACTGATAAAGCTGAGCTCTTCTATTCCGATACCAAAACAAACCAATTCTAACACTGATCAGCTGACTGGTGGTGTATGCAACCAGAACGAGGTTAGACAGCGATCTATAAATAAAACCAGTGTATTATAAAGAACAAAGTTAATGCATCAAGCAAGCTTGGAAAGAACAAACAAAACAAAAACACAACAAAAAACAAACAAACAAAAAAAAAACACCACAAAGCAGCTGTGTTTGACTGACTTGCCGTCCCATTTAGACCAATTAGTGATCGCTAGGAACTCACATAGGGCAATGAAGGTCCGAAAAACATGATGAAGAATCTGAAATCCAACTAAAAAAGGTAAACCCTGACCAACAAAAAGTCCAAACCATGAGTTAGAACAGGGTTTTAGCTGAGATAGGTCATACTTTTACACATGTACAACTTTTGTTCAAGTAAAGGGACCAATTCATATCAATCAGTGTAGTTACACGCACACTGACCGACATCTAAGTCGATTCAGGTCGATCTTATGGTGATAAGCTGGGAGTCTTTATCCATGCTCATTAGAAAACCGAACTCTCAAATACAGTTCATTCCACTCCGATACAGCAGGTGGTGACATGCGCCCTTTCATGTTGGTCTTTTTCCAGTTAGCCTATGGCGGGAGTGAAGTTGACAGAATTGAAACAGAATTTGCACAATGGCTGAAGGAATGGGCAACACTGCAGCACAGCTTATATGGTGCGTACTGTACTGTTTGATGGGGGTATACGTGTTACTTTGTGGCAAGGATATCATCAGAAGACCGCTTCCGTGATCTCATCACGTCCAGAACGGTTCCAACCGGTTCAGTTTAGCTAACGCATTACATGCAGAATGTATTCTGATTGCTACCGCATTATCTGGGGGCTCCAACTGGGTCAGAACCAGTCTGCCTTCAGCAGATTAACGCGCTTACGTGCATTTAAAGAAACAAACACAAGCCTTTTTAGGGCAATACTTCAGTTTTCTGATGTGCATGTAAACACACTGACTAGGCTCTGGCCTCATGGGGGTGGGGGTGGGGGTGGGGGTGGGGTGGGGGGGATGGGGTCAAACTTCCTGGACCACAACCCTGGACTCCCTAGAATCACCCCTGGAGAGTTTGATGTATAGCATATGCATGGAACGTAAAGTTGTGTCATTAAAGGAGTAAAAACCAATAATACGTGATAAGACATTTTAATGCCGAACATGGCCAACGATGCACAACCCTGACGCTTTTATTTATGCAATAATTTTACTCCAACACAAAAGATTCAATCAAACACAACAATAAGAACATCTATTACAAATAAGTATCTAATGATGGATATTTCATTTCACATTGCATTGTCTCCTTTCTGCACCAAACACAAAACCGATGTTGCAAAGTTCAAACAAGGTCAACCTAATATTGACTCAGCAGCCGTCCAGTAAAGCAGAAAAATCACAGAGATTAGAGACCTAAAAGGGTCCGGGCTGAATAAACCCTGGTACATGCTCTCTTTTGAATGAAACTCTTAACTATTCTCATCCCAGCCTCCCATTCACATGTACAGCACATACAGTCAGAAAGCTATGAACGCCTGCAGAGGCAGATCCCAAACGGAACTTCCATCTGAATGCTCGTCTGCTTTTTTAGGTAGAAACTAACTGAATGCTTTTGAAGTCGTCGGCTCTCCTTGGCTGTCATTAATGAAGAATGGCCTCTAAATGACTGATCCAGTTCACTCTGTGCCCATCTGAGGAGGGAAGAATCTGGCATGACACCAAACGCCGCTCAATAGATGCTTTCCCAAACAAAAGCCAAAAAAAGTGGCTGCCCCTCCTCTCCTCCGCCCTGATCCTTGTTTCTGAGCACGTACAAATCTGTCTTTCATATATTTGTCAAGAGCACAATTTGTAGTCCTGTTACCATAGTTTCAGATTCCGTGTGAGGTAGGACAAATGTTTACTGTATATATTATCGGATGGCAGGGAAAAGAAGAGGCGGGCCAGAGTGCTTGTGCCCTTTGGTGTTACATTCAAGAGCGTGTTTGAGCGTTGGCAGCAGTTTGTTCCTTTTCTTAAGGAAATGCTGAGAAGAGGAGGCTGTGGAAAAGGGACGGCCGTCACTACTAAGGCTCTAATTGGATGGGATTTACCGTGAACGCTCGCTAACCACAAGTGTGAGGTCAAACCGCGTGAGTGTGTCTTAGTGTGTTTCCCTGACGTACAGTGTGTGAAGGTGGCTCGCTATCGGGACCTTGTTGCTGTAGGGAAAAACGATGATGTGTGCTGCAGGTTAAGTCAGAGCCAGAAAACTGAATTCCTGTTTCTTGGATTTCTGATTTATTTGGTTGGTTTTAGATTGAAACATGTCATCGCTCTGGTGGGAAAACATAAGCGGAGTCCAGTTATTCAGCTGCCATCATTCCTCACAGTAAATGAGTCAAATACGAGTGTTGGGTCTGGTCTGGATCAAGGCGGGGTCAATTCGGAGATCTGAAAAGTCGAGAAGAAGAAAAATAACACATATTTTTCAGAAAGGAGACGTGAAACAGGAAATTAGAAAAAGATTCAGTTTTCTGATTTTATGAGATTATATTAGTCAAAACATGTCCAGAAATGGCAATAAAAAAATTATATAATAAAACAAATACTGTAGAAGAAGAAGAGTTGCTTCACAAGCACAATGACGTTTCAAAAAATATGAAATAAAAATTAAAGGTAAAGAAGTCTGAAAATATGCTGGAAATATAACAAATGTATCTGTCATTTGTGATCATGATTGGCCGCTTTGATCAGTACCTACCATAGACTGTACATACTGGACAAACGGATTCCATAGGCTCCAATAACAGGTTTTATGTCCATAATGGGAGGTGGCCACCACCGCCATTTTGACCGTGTCACAGGTTCCGTCCAGCCCAGACGATTCCATAAAAGGGAAGAGAGGAGGCGCTGAGGGTGGGGCTGTAAGGCTGGGCTCGAGTGACGAACTAGCTATGCGCTAACCTGAAGCTAACCCTGGCTAACCCAAAGCTAAAGCGGAGGTGGGAGCCGAGCTAACGGATGTAGCCACCTAGCTTCAATTCAACCGGAGCTAACTGGAACACCCAACGACCTGACCCTCACACGGAGTTTAGGAGGAGGTTTTCTGCGCCTGTTCGTGAGAAGTACCTGTATTAAAAAAGTTTTAAATCGGTAAGTTTATAATTTATTTCCGTAATGAAAACATTTTGCTTTGAGCAAGTTTTCAGTACAGTTTTTTTCGGTGCTATCACTCCTGAGTCGCACCAGCCATTAAATGTATCATGAAGAAGAGAAAATATATTTAAGTCGTATTTTGGGGGGACATTTTATTATCTTTCTTACAAAATCTGAGACCAAGCGTTTCACATTGCAACACAAGCACCGGTAACCATAACAGAATGAACAACAGCCAGCAGAGGAGAGGATGGCGGTGTTTCAAACCCTCCCGGCCGGCGTGGAGAGCTCATTCCTGGGCTGGAGCCGGCCCTCAGCACCCCGCCACAGGCTCTAACAGATGCTGGCGGTGTTTCATATATTTCCAAAACGTAATACTTGTTTGTATCTTGTACAGCCAACTAGCCTTTATTCTGGACTCAGTACAATTTACCAAAAGTAAAGAGACATTATACAGATGAAGTAAGCACAAGATAACTTACTGGAAGACACGGAATTATCATCAGAACCAGAACAAGAGAGCCTGATAACAGTCATGTGAAAATAACAGTTAAAAAGTATGTATGTGTAATAGAAATAAAAATATATTAGAATTAGTGTAACTCACTGTGATCCAAACAATAAATCAGCCATAGCTGATTAGTAAATATGACATGAGGTCTTGGAGTTTTTAAGTTTCATTCTTTTATTACATTTTTTTCTTAGATCTGTTAAAAGGTCACCATGGCAGCCTGTGTGTCTCCAACGTCAGCTACACAACGCAGCAAGTGTAAGTTCCTGTCTTGACCACTTCATGTATGGTTTTGTACTTAAAAAAATTATGACAAACCTGTTATTTTTTCTCCATAGCCATTTGGATCATTGGAGACAGCTACGTGAGGCGTGGTGCCCAGAGAGCTGCAGAGACCGTCGGACACAACCTTGGCCTCCCTGACGTCCGTGTCTCCTGGTTTGGTTGGGGCGGACCATCGACATACATACATGTGCCGACACTTTGCGCCCTGTTTTATAAAATGTAGTGTTAAAAATAAATGTTTTTGCTCAATTACTGGAATTTCTTTGGTTAAGACAAAAGTGAGGAATAATCATTTACAAGTTATTTGTACAACGGCCCATTTTAAATCCCAACAGTTTCTTAGCAGACAATAGAAATGTGTTCTTTACTAACTTTACTTGGTTTGAAAATCTTACTAAAATAAACTTGAGTGCCGTATTGCAAAACCCGATCATACTTGTTATGTAAACATTAGCTTTGTAGATATTTTTTACAGATATTTGTGTGCAACAAAAACCAAACTTAAATAATTTGTCATTCTTTATTGAAGAACAACAAAATACAGGTATACAGAAGTGTGGGGAAATGATAATGTGAAAGTATTGCACTATAAATGAAGTGAGATGAGATGAAGGTGGATGCCAGCGGGCTGGACGCCGGACGAGGAAACCTGGAGACGGATCGCTCAGACATGAAGGGAAGAGCTTCCTCTTACCTTGATGGAATTAAAGTTAGCCGTCGTCTGAACGCCCAACCGTACGGTCTGAGGTCAAAGGTCACAGGAAACACACACCAGTCAGCAGTCATACAGATGCATAAAGATAACTGTAGCCATGGCAACCAGCTGACATGTCCCCACTTTCACCAGCACCTGGTGCCTGCCGGGTCACCTGAATTCCTGTGTGATGTCAGCACGGTCGGCCGTGACTGCTGCCATCAGAGGTGACCTCTGATCAGCTGAATGAACTCACCTTCCAGGGTGACGCCGTCTTAGAGTCGGCTTCATCCTGTAAACAAACAAACAAACAAATGAGTGGTAACAAAAACACCACGTCTGGTTCTGGTGGAGGCGGAGGACAACATGCACCTTTCCAGGAGCAGAACCCAGATGTTCTTGTTGCTACAAACAGAGACGAGCAGAGTTAAACCAGGAAGTGAGAGGGACCAGCTGCTGCAGACAGGTGACGCTCACCTGAGCCTGAACCATAGGAGCCTCCTCAGCCATCAGACCTTCTGACTCCAGTTCAGATGCCACCTTGCTGATGTCCCTCAGGCGGGACTCGTTGGCCTTCAGGTCCTGCAGGACAAAAGCACCTGCTGATTACCTTGTTGCTATCGGGTTAACAGGTCTGGTGTTAGAACGTGGTGGATAAGAATGTTCTGACGGGCCGAGGGTTCTGAACTCATCCTGCAGGACTGGGCCTGCTCCTTCAGGGCCTGGATGCTGCTGCCGTAAGCTGACAGGTCCGACATCAGGGCCTCGTGCTTCTTCAGGAGAGCCTGTGGAGCAGAACATCAGAACCTTCAGCTCGTCTGACACAAGTGGAGCTTTCTCGCAGCGATGGTCCAATCGGATCCGCCACCGTAAAACAAACCCTGCTCAGTTCACCGCAGACGCAGCTCTGCGGGTGTTTAGTGGAAAAGCGTGAGCCTTCTGCCGGCTGCCACGTGTCATGGCTGCTCTGCAGCGGGAACACACATCACAGCTCGTAAACCGTTTGAAATAAGAGCGACGGGAACACGTTTGTCATCACTTCCTGTGCGAGGCTAGCACTTCTACCCCTAACCCATGAGACGCTCAAACGAGCAACGACGTCTGGTAGACAACCGAAGGAAATGACAAATACAGAAACACTAATTATGAAGGACTGGAAAGAGAGCAAAGAAAAGCGATTGGAGTTTCTCAGGAAGGGACTTCCATACCTCGGCCAAGTCCTCGTCTTTCCCTTAGTCTGGACTTCCAACGATGGGCTCCTTCTCCCTCATCCAGGACTCGGCCTCATTAGCATCCGCAAAGTACTGCTGGGCCTGCAGAGAGTCCTCCAGGTCCTGCCTCCTCTGGGACGCCTTGGCCTTCAGCGTGTCCCAACGTCCATGAAGCTCCCACAGTTTAGTCTTCACTTCCTCACCAGCGAAGTGACCTGGACCCAAAAAAAAGTGAGCCAGAACCTGCAGACACCTCAGAAACATGTCAGGACCAGACCTGCTCTACCTTCCTCCACCATGGTCTCTCCTTTCTGGGTGACAGCCTTGATGCGAGGTTCATGACCTGTGATCTCAGCCTGCAGAGCCTGGTGCTTCTTCAGCAGGTTCTGGACACCAATCAGGTCCTTCCCTGAGGACACATGTTAGAGTTCAGCATTATGCAGTAGGCAGACCAGTTTAACCCAGGGGTTTCTTTCTTCTACAATCTGCTCTTTAACTGTATTATTTCCTGCTATTTCAGCTGTTAACTTTATTTTTTCTCTAAGTGTTTTTCTCCCCAGAAGAAGCTACAATGGTGTTCTGCTGAGCTGTGGTGGCCTCATGGAGGGGCCATCGGCTAGCACACTGCTGCTAACCACTTAAACATTCTCCCTCTCCTGATAATAACATTTTACTTTCTTTGATGTTGGATGTGCTACTGCTAGTTTACCCGTTTAATTATAGATTCACTAGGATAAATACAATAAAGTTTATCTCTCGCCAAATAGAATATTTACTAAGAAATCACAATGTAACGTGTGTGTGTGTGTGTGTGTGTGTGTGTGTGAAAGCCATGTGTAGTGTTTATTTATAAAGCATATGTTGTTGGATTTTATCCAGAATCGAGACTTTGAAAATATATAGTTTAATTACAGTTTCATTTATTTGACATCTGTATAATGTTTATTATTTTGTTTTTTCCCCCTAAATACCTAACGTTTTAGTTAACATGAATATTAGTCATTCATCCCAAAACATAAAGTTACACATTTTAAATTTTAATAGGGGAAGACTGCAGGAGGGAGCGGTAAAATACAGGGGGTCCCAGCAAAAACTAACTTTACGAGTCTGATGAAACTTGCTGGTGTTCCCGCTGCTTCTTCGGTAAACAGCGCCAACAAAAACAAAGAAACTTGGGATCTTGTCGGCGTGGCGGTGGGATTTAAGGGAAACGCTGTATGTCCTATAGACTTCTCAACGAGCTGCAGTATTTCTCCGGTCAGCCCGCAGCAGCGAGGCGCCGCATCGGTCAGCCTGCCCGGCCTGACCGCTGGGGATTACCGGATGAAAGAATGGAGCACAGGAGTCCCTCCAAGCGGCGCGCTCCATCATATTTCAACCCATTTTTATCTTAAATGCACTGGGTTTTACCCTTTTACCCATCGAAATAAGCCCTATTAATTATTTTACCGTATTTTACATTTAAATTTCATGGTTAAACAGTACATGCTACATGTTAAACTGATAGTTAGCTAGCTACTTCGGTAAACTCAGCTAGGCGGCAGTGACATAAAATACAAATATAGATTTTAACTTACCAAAAAAAATGAAGTGGAGACTCCTTGGACGCTCTATTAGTGCAATTAATACCACAGCAAGTCATTTTGTCCACCACTTGCACCAATATTATCCAAAACAGAATTCACAAGCACAGAGACTCAAAATCCCGACACAGTTTCCAGGAGGGACCGAGGCTGTACTGAGGCCTTTCCACGGAGCTAGCTATGTGGTCATGTGGGTCTGAGGCGGCGGTCACGTGTGTCGGATGCTCATTAATTATACAGAATTTTAGGCTTTCAATACACTTAAACAGAACAGTGAGAAAAAAATTCACCCCCCTCAGAGTTGTCATGAGTATAAACTAGATAATTTAGACAAAAAACAATTTTTGGAACCAGGCTGTAAACATGTTTATTTCTGCTGTGAAAATGGCATTTTTAACATGGGAGTCAATGAGGATTTGCTCGCTTCTGGTACCAGCCCCCAGCGGATGAGGGTGGAACTGCAATTTTTCTTACTTCCGGGATGGGACCATTTTTAGAGCGGCATTGTGGGGGCTTGGTACCTACACTGTCTTGTATGTATTAGCTCTCTAACTGTAGCCTCTCTATATTATTTTTTTATTGTGCTTATTTCTTATTTTCTTGCACCAAGTACCGCAGCAATTTCCAAATGTTGTGATTTCTCACAGATATGGCAGTAAACCCTTCTGATTCTGACAGGCTTATTAGGCTGGGTGTGATACACAGTAGGAATGTCTTAGAAACCACGCTAATGGTAATTCTCCTCTAAGACATTACCTGCACAGGTATGTCTGTGACTCAAAAATCAGATTTAAATAAACAAATCAAATATATCACTGGAAAATTCCTTCACTCTTTTATGATGTTTAGCCTCACATTAAATATTAATTTATAATGTATTGACACTTTTTGTTTGTTCTTTTTATTAACATACTCCCTAAAATGAAAAAGTGGAAAAAATGATAAACTCCACTCACAGCAGCTGTTTTCTCCTCTTCCTCCTCCATAACACCGGACTGAAGAATTTCCTCTTGTGTCAAGCCACGGCTGATGAAGGCTGATGAGGGCAAAAATAAAGAGATCCATTGAAGCTAAAAGGTCATAAATTCAGTCAGTTAAAACGGGACTCTTTTTTTTTTTTTTTTTTAGCTTTGAAGCAAAAAAAAAAAAAAATCGGAGAGCAGGAGCATTTTGTTGAAGTTAGTCTGAATAAAACCTGTGCAGTCATGGATGCATCGTCTTTCAGATGCAAATGGCGTTTGGTCTCTGAAGCCTTAATGGGATGTTTGTCTGGCACATCAGGAACAAATGTGCCAGCTTCAGCTCACAAAAGCACACACTCACATAGGTTAATTTGGACACCACACACACAGATACGGCAGCAAAGCCAGAGCCAAGGCCGGGCGGCGCTGGGATCTCTGAACTGAGACTGGGACGAGGTCACGACCCCAACAGATTGGACAGCCGGTGTTAGAGAGAGTCTTCCAGCCTGGTCAGACCTCACACCCTGGCAGGTGGGAGCCCTTTCACATCTCTCTGTTTGGGTTACTGATCATCACTTTGCACAAAGACTTCAGACGTTTAGCGGAACATGTCTAACGAGTTCACGCTCAGCAACACGCATCCCTCAGGATGATCTAACTCATTTCCACATTTTGCAGCGATCTCGCCTTTCAGTTCGTCTTTGCGTTTGCTTTTTTCCATGTCATTTGCCTCCTCTAACATTACCAGTGATTTATTTCACTCATCTCCAGACTCCTGCCCCTTTGGGACCTGTTGTTCTTGTCAGCGGGTTGATAGGATCTCCAAGAACTCAGCAGTCGTTCAATCAACATGTTCAGGAGCGGCTTTGAGCAGAGAGACCGAGCGGACCGGTTGTCCAGACACATGCATAAACAGAAGCACATATGAAAGTATTTATCAGAAAATCATCTGTCCAGCTCCCACGTTTATAAGATTTACCAGATATTCACTCGTAAGACAGTGGATTTAAATATATCAGATGTGGATTTTGGCTGCCGACTGTGGACAAAGTTCAAAATAATTGTTGAAAACGAATGTACCACAGTGGGTGCTGTTTTATATGCATGACAGATTCATCTATGAATACTAGTTTGTGGTCATAAGAAAATACCGTGAAGCTTTGGACAGAGTACTCCGGTATTTGAGCCCAGCTGGGTCTCGGCCCAGGCCCATCTGGATTAATAGCATGGTTCTTCTTCTTTTTACCTTTGTTTTGAAAGATGTTTGGCCTCTTTTATGTAACGTAATCTAAAGAAAAGAGACAAAATAGGGAAATCTAAAATAAAGGGACATAAATTAAGTGACTGAAGGCGAAATTATGTAAACTAAATGAACATGAAGTAAAGTAACAAAAAGCAGCCAAAAATAACACAAAGAGTTGAAAAGTGACATCAAGTATCAAAAAGTAGCATTTGTAAAAAAAAGAAGCTAGTAACATAAAGTAGCTAAAAGTAAAGTAATAATAAGTATCAAAGTTGAAGGAAGTATCATGAAGTTACAAAAAGTATCATAAAGTGACTCCCCCTAGTGGCTGGTTTCAGTTTTAAGCCCCACCCCCTTCACACAGACAAATTGGACATTTTCCAGCCTCTTTAATAAAAGTAGGTTTCAGATCTTTTCCCAAGACTTTGTTGACTTGAATAAAATTTTTACTTTGCTTT